GCGAGCACCAGTTGGCTGATATCGCGACCAAGTACCTCCCAAAGCACCGATTCGCCTCCATCATTCAGCAGATTAAGGACTTCTCGTGTTGATCGAAGATCTGTGAAGCTTCCTTCCATACCCGCCATACCGGAAGCATTAATTTTCGATACGGTGCCAACGAAGCGGTCGAGGTAGACAAGGATATGGTGATGCCGTCGACCATTGTGATATAGTTGCTTGATCGAGGGGTCGTGTCAGGAAAATCGTGCGTCGAGACCACCAGTAGTCGGACACCGTTTGACCTTTGAATACGATTGCAGCAACTAGTCTGCGTAGCAGTAGAAAAGAATCCATCTCTTCTTGGCATGTATTCTCTTGTTCTAGAAATATTCCGGAAGCATGCTAGGTCAAGGTTGACCGGGACATCTATGTAGAACGTGTGTAGCTTCTGGAAGCCTTCTGGAAACTTCTGGTTCCTCCTGTAGCCTCTGGAAGTCTTTCTGGAAACTTCTGGTTCCTTCTGTAAGCTTCTGGAAGCGTTCTAGATCTAGGTTGCAGTTGAAACTCTTCTAGAACGTAGGAGGGCTTCCAGAAATCATTCTGGAAGCATTCTGGATATTTCGTGTGATTGGTTTATTTGTCCGGTATTCGAGAAGAGTGGTGCAGCCCTAAGCTCGCCCACTCCTCTCACTCCACTTCAGTACCAGCAACATCTGACTCGGGAGTTAGCAACTAATAAAAGCATCTTCATATTTCCATTCCAAGTCTCTCGCGGTTGGAGACGCACAGAGTGTGAACCTCTGAGGTAGGCTACACAGCCTCCTGGCATCTGCAGCATCGTACTGCTGCTAGTGTACAGCGAATATCTCTGACAAAGAAGGGCAAACGGAACAACATTCATCGTGGCCAATTAGGCAAGACCTTTGAGCTGCGTGCACCCTATCACTCTAGCCCAGATATAAATACTAGAAGCACTTCTGAATTTGGTTGGCGAGATCGATTGTGCTCTACACCCCCGGCAAAATCGAGAAGAAGGAAAACCTTGGTTGGGTGTTTTGTCGTAACTTGTAAACACAGAGTACATAGAGTACAGACCGACGACAGAAATCCTATGCACGTGAAAGAACATCAACAACTTAGGTTTTCAATTTCTGAAGGGGAGTAGAACAATAACGACTGGATCCGCCAAAAAAAGTCACTTCGGCTTACTACAATAAAGCGTGGGCTCAGGGAAGACCACGACATACATGAGGTNACTTAGGTTTTCAGTTTCTGAAGGGGAGTAGAACAACAACGACTGGATCCGCCAAAAAAAGTCANGGGTCTCACCGTCGGGATACAAGACCTCCAACCTCGGGTGCACAGAGTCGTAGCGTTGCTGTATTTTGTCGAGGGTAGCCTTGTCGATATCCTTCAGCTGGAAAAGGGGGGCGTCTGCCGGGTCCGGGACGCCTCCGACGAACAGCTCATGCGGCTCCCCAGCGAAAACCCCATCTCCCGTCAAGCCTGTGTACGCCTCATGATGCATGTACTCCTTCATGCCCACTGTCACCTGTTGAGGAGAGTAGAACAAGGTGAAAGGTTGGTGTCTAGGCACGCGTCTTGTGTCACTCACCCCAGTCACACGGTTTTGTATATAGGGCGGCTGATCGAATATGCTGACAAACGAGAGAGTTGGCCAGTTGGGGCGTGTAAGAAGAGTGCTTCGGACCTACGTTCTTTTCTTTATCCGGTGACCTCGAACAGTAACGTTTCCCAATCCTGCCTGGCTTCAGGGCACGCACACCGCTACTACTCCGCAACACACCTGCGACGGGCCGTCTTTGAGGAGCTGGAAAGCGCGTGATTTGGTGATGCCGTGAATATTCCTGACGACAGGGCCTGGGGGAAAGACGCCTTTGAAGTTCCCCAGGTTTCGAAGGGTGGTGGTGTGGACCGGTAACGTCTTGTACGCGGCGGAAAAGGCGGCCGCCTGCTCCTTCCGCGTGAAAAAGTTTCGGTTCTTGCAACCAATTGCAAACCTTGGACACGAGAGGGCAAGGGATGGTATAACGGGAGCCGGAAGTCGGACTGGAAAAAAAAAAATCCACGAAAGAAAACGTTCTTTCTTTGTGTTAAAAAAACTATACATCAAGATAGGATCTACATTATTCAGTACATACAGAAACAATTGAGCGTCCTTGAAGGGTAGGCGCAAGACGCCACGAGAGGCCACAGTAATAAAATGACGAGGCTACAGGTAAGATTTTGGGGCGAGACAAGGTCTTATCTTGCGCAGAATGTGAGTGTGCTGCAGCTTCGTGACGGAAAAATAAACGGGTCTGGTGCGGCATTTAGTTTAACTCTCGGACCATAAACAATACAAAAATAATACCCGAAGAATTCGAAACAACTTTTGAAAGGAGCGGGCGGGCATCCTTGTAGAGGAAGAAGGGTTACCGCCCGACTCTGTGAATATCAAGCACGCACGCAGAGTGAAAACAAACTGCACACCTGGAGAATACTTGGTCGATCTTGATGTGGGTATGACCCACAGGCATGAAGTGAACCTCCACCTGGCCGATGATGCCCTGAACGACGAGGTGTCCAAGATAGCCGAGGAGTATGTGGTTTTTGTTTTCGACGCAATTGTCCACTTGGACTGTGAGGTGGTGGATGTAGGGGCGTGTTCCGAACGGAACGTGCAGCTTGAACAACCGATGGAGGACAAGGTGAAGGGAGGTGCAAATGAGGTTGTAACCTGCGTCGTAGTCGATTAACAGGTTAGGTGGGGCATCGAAGCAAGGGCGGAAAAAGCAAGGGTTACGCAAGTGAAAATAAATGCAAAAAGTGGCAGTCAATGTGGTACGAACTTGGCTGCGATTTCAAGATCGGTAAAGACAACGAGGGTGCTGCTGCTTTACGTATTCCATACAAATGACTATGTATGGCAGCCAGAAACGGGAACCAAGGCATCACACGAGATGGAAGTTGACGTTTACCCCCCATCATAGTCGTATTCTAGCCGTCGCTATTATTCCTTACCACGGCAAGAGGCGGGCCGAACGAAGTGCTCGAAAGAGACGGTGACCCTGTGCACGCGCAGGCTTATATGGCGGCAGCGCAAGTCTTACGCCAACGGGNATCGTATTCTAGCCGTCGCTATTATTCCTCACCACGGCAAGAGGCGGGCCGAACGAAGTGCTCGAAAGAGACGGTGACCCTGTGCACGCGCAGGC